CATGCTTAGCACACACGAGGTTCAACTCCCAGCACCTCCATTAAAAAAAAAGGGGGGTATAGCTCATGCCCAGCACGCACGAGGTCCTGGGTTCAATCCCCAGTATCTCCATCAAAAAAATAAGTAAACCCAATTACCTTTCCCCTGCAAATAAATAAATACTATTTTTTTAATTAAAAAAATAGAGGTTTGCGGCAAGGACATGGATTATCAGGGAAGATTGATTTTCTAGTCAAAAAAAAACAAAAAAAGGTAATCCGAAGGATGTGTGCAGGTTACATGAAAATGCTGCGTCACTCTGTACAAGGGACTCGAGCATCTGCGAACCCGGTACCCCCAGGATGGGGGAGGGGTCCTGGAACCAGTCCCTCTCGGATACCCCGAGGTGACTGCACAACCACAGTTATCTGATACACTTTGTGCAGAAGTTCACATACGCTAACAGTCAGGATCTAGTAGCGTGCTGTGGGAAGACGTCCTGGGTCCTGAGTTGACTCCTTCAGTCAGTCACTCATTCCTGCAGTCGTAATGCCCTACAACGTGCCAGGAACTGTGTCGGGTGGGTGCACACTAGTAAAACTCAGAAGCATTCATCTTTGCTGTCCTACAGACTCTGCGGGAAAGCAAAGAAGTAAATACAAAAAGAATGCTCGCGAGCTACCACGCTTTGCCGTAGAAATCTGAACGCGGTGAACTAAGGACACAGAGAAAAGGGCCGTCAGTCCCAGGCGGGAGGAGGGCGCCCCGGGACAGAGACAGTAACCCTTGACCTGAGTCTGATATTTTATCACCTACTCAGATTAGGGAAGAAGGGGTGTTTATCACACCTACAGATAATGCAGAACCTGGAGTGACACACCAGACGGCAAACTCAGGGAGTAAAAGAAAATTGTGAGCGGACTCCTTCTAGGAATTTACACGAAGGAGGTGACTGCACGGGAAGAAGGCGACTGCACGGGAGGGGGCGACTGCACGGGGAGGGGGGCGACTGCACGGGAGGGGGCGACTGCACGGGAGGGGGCGACTGCACAGGGAGGGGGGCGACTGCACGGGAAGCTGCTCATCCTCGTCCTGCTCATAAGGGTGCGACCTGGAAACCCGCGTCACAGACGTCACAGGACCCTCCAGAATCGTTAAACATGACGTTGCCTTCTCTGTCTGTCCCCTGCGAAGACGCACACGGCAAGAGAAACAGCGTGCTGCAAAACAGAACAGAGCGTGGCCCTGTTCTAAAAACGTACATTCGTATCAATATGCATGGAGTTTCTTTCTGTAATTAACAAAAGAGGGATCATACAGTTTGGCAATTTTCTTTTTTATGTGTTATGTCACAGACCTCTTTCTACACTTAAAAATGACTAAACATAATTGCCATTGCAACTGTAAACTGACTGATAAATAACTGTCCTCTTTGATACTATTACAAACAAATTTGCATACTTTTTTAGAAGGCGCTCACTCCTAGAGAGAAGAATTTGGGGTGATTTTCACTTTCCCCTTTGTACTTTTACCACCTGAAAATGAACATTTTTTAAAAAAGCAATAAACTAATCTTTCAATCATAAAAAGCTGGTCTACATACCAAAACAAAGGTGACGCTCTGATTTCCTATCTTCCAAATAAAGCACACGAGAGGGAGGGGAAAGTGACAGTCTGCGTGAACCACGTCTGGGGTTTCAGTTCATCTCACGCACAAGCTCAGCCTCGGTGCAGAACCCCATGGGATGCTGTCGCGGCCAACATCCTAAAGCAACTTTAGGCGATGTTAACAGAGTTAGAACACGCCGACCACTGCTCTGCGAGCTTGTCCGGCCGCTTGCGGATTCAGCTCCAGGTCTGCACTACAGTCAGAGACACTACAATCCAGGGCGTGCCCAACCAGGACAGAGATCGGAGACACTGGCACAGCTCAGTGTCAAGAGGACACCCAACAATTAGCCTGGAAAAAAGATGCAAGAGGGCACACGCCTCCGTGAGACAACGTCTCCGTGAGCTGTCCATGGAAGACAGCACAGAGTTCTTCTGTGTTGCCCCCAAGAGCAAAACTAGGGCGAATGAGTGGGATTCACCCAGAGGCAGAGCTCCACCCTGTGACACACTACAGACCAGAGCGGGCTGCCCACAAAGCAGCCGGTGCGGAAAGGTCCCCATTGCTCTAAGTGCTCCAAGCGGGCAGGCGACCCCCGACACGGAAGTGATGGTGCCGGGGGATTGTTCCCGACGACATCCAAGGTCCCTTCTAATTTTGAGACTATAAGGCGTGTTTTCCTCTGTGAAGACACATCCTCCTTGACCCCATTTTCTGCTCACTTCAACTACAGCAGAACGGAGTGTCAGTGGGAGTGTCATTCTAACTAAAGCCAGAAAGAGATAGAAGAACACCATCTGACACAGCTTACATGTGGGATCAAAAAAGGCCACAAATGAGCTTAGCTACCAAATAGAAACAGACTCACAGACACAGAGAGCAAAGTCATGTCATCAGCGGGTAGAGGATGTGGGAAGGGGTAAGCTGGGAATTTGGAAACTGCACCTCCCGGGGAGCGGTGGAAACGTGCGCTCCCCTGACTGCGGTGCTGGTTCCGTGGGTGTGCACCTATCAGAGCTCATCAAATCGTTCATCGCGAGCACGCGCACTTTACGGTACAGGAATCGTCCACAGTAAAGGTGGTTTTTAAAGTGGGTTTTTCTTCAGAAGGCAGTTCTGGAAACTCCTAGTCATCCTTTGAAACTTGCATAAGGCACTCAGGACAGTGCCAGGCATCTCCTTCAGAAACCGTTCCTGGCTTGTCCTGGCGCTGTGGAGCAATGACTGATTCCCCCCGACAACCTGTGTGCTCTGTGCCCATCTTCCTGTCTCCCCTCCCCGCTGGCTGACTCCTCGAGGAGGGCCTGAAGCTTAGCGCTGCTGGGCCCCACGCCTGGCGCCAGCTGGGCACACCGCCGGCCGTGATGAACGCTCCAGAAGCCGGCTGGAGGCTCGGGGCTCCCCCGACGCCCCATCAGCTGCCTACAAAGGAGTTGGGTCACTTCTCCTTTCAGGTTTCTCCCGCCGACAGGGTGGACTCCGCAGTGCCGAGCCGTGCTGGTGGCCACAGAAGAGAGCCTCAGAGGAAAGCTGTCTGCTCTGAGGGACAGTTACTTTCACCCCTTAAATCCCAGTGTTGTCTCCCTTCCATTTCAAGCTCCCAAAGAGGAGTTCTTTATGGGAACAGCTGACTTTGGTGCAGTCGTTTCTGCGCGTGTCCGTCCCCTATCCAGAGCCCCGCAGAGTGGCATCCTTGCCTTTCTGCACAGGGATCCTGTCCTCTGAACCTTGTTTACTGTCCTGAACTATAAAAAGGAGCCATTATCATTACGTCTGTTATTCAGGATAACCTATACTGATGCTGACGAGATGTTATAAACCAAAGATCAGAGCCTGTGTTCAGTGGTACAGGGAAACACTGGGATGAGGCAGAAACTGGGTGGTCACAACTAACTGGGACATAGTGTCTCTGGGTGTCACCCTCTCCTCCCCGAGTAAAGGGCTCCTGAATGTTGAGCATGTCTCCACCCTTAAAAAAGGACCCGGGGGAGGAGGAGGGCATAGCTCAGTGGTAAAATGCGTGCCCAGCATGCACGAGGTCCTGGGTTCGATCCCCAGCACCTCCATTAAAGATAAATAAACCTGATTTCCTCCCCACCCCTGCAAAAAAATAACAAATAAAAGAATGAAAAAGAGCCGGCGGTTCACAGAAGCATGGTGCCCCACTATGTTTCACCCCATTCCGTGGGATGGAAAACGCTCCTGGCCCTGGGTCTGAATTCCTGGCTCCGTGACCTACTAACCTGCAACCCTGGGCAAGTCAGCTGACTTCTCTGAAGGATGTAACACGCCCAACACGTGATACATGCTAGGCCCTCTCCTGCTTTCCTCAGCTCCTGGGAGACACTGAAACGATCACTTAACAAAACCGAACCAAACTAAACCAAAACAAGATAAAAGTAACTCTAAAAAAAAAGAAAAAGACAACAGGTTTAAAATAAATGTTGGCTTCCAAATTCCTGAATAGTTCACTCCAGGAAGTGTGGTCACCTGCAGAATCGGCTGGGTCACACCTGGCCTGGGGGCCCAGGGCCCCACTGTGGGCGTCAGGACTGGACGCTGTGTGTTTCTTTGGGTCAACTTCCCTGAAGCAAGTTCCCCACTTAGCTCACACTCGGCAACGCTGATTCAACTTCTGACACGTGTGCTGACGGACGCCCTCCAGAATCCAGTTCAAACATTGTCGGAGCCATGCTCTGTGTTCCCTCAAACTCAAATGCTGAAGCTTACGGATGACCATTCCCGGGAGAAACCCAAGTGCTCTGCAGATCTGCTTATGTGAACGTTTCGCAGCAAGTAACATTGTGTAAGTTCACATTTGTCCAACAAGGGTTCCTTGTTTCAAAATCAGTTTACTAGTTTCCTTAGAAATGTTTTTTAAGTTCATTCTTGATGGTTTTTCCCTAAATTTTTCCAAGCTATTAAAGGAAGGCTGACTAATACGTTACGTGCAATGTAGACAAAGCTCTAAAAGAAAAACAGTCTAGCTTAAATTTAATGACAATGAAATATGTCTGTGATGTGAGACTATGTGGAAACAGCAGGGTCTGAAGCCGAAAGTACAGGACGCTCTCCTCTCCCTTTTAAACAGAATATGTGCATATATTCAGGTATGAGAAAGAGACCAGAACAGTATATACCAGGCTAATAACCCTGGTTATCCCCAGGTTGCAAAATTACAAATGACTTAAAAATTCTTTTTTCTAATTTCTAATTTATGCATCACCTGTCACGCAGTCTAAAATGAGCACGTGTCCCTTGCTTAATAGAGGGTGGAAAAAAAACCCAAAGTTATTTTTTAAAATATATTTAAAATATGGTTTACTTTAATATAATATAAAATATAATCTATTATTAATATGTTCATAATATATATTTTATAAGCTATGATATAAATGTAATATTTAAAATATCTTCTAAGATCTGACTTTTAAGCTAATGAGCTGGATGGACAATTACGTTAATGTTATTTATATGTAAAGAGCTCTTACAAATCAATAAGACCTCAAGCGCCTTTGTCGGAATGTTTTACAAAGGGCCTGAACAGATAGTTCACAGAAGGAGAAATTTCAATGTCCAACACAGGTATGAAAAACTAGATCTCAGTCTTAATCGAAGATGTTCAGTTTAAAGGCAATACACCTCATCAAATGTTCATTAACTGTTGGATGCTGTGCAGAGGAATAAGGCAGTAATGAGAGTCACCAGTTTTTGAGTGTTTACGGACAGTCACGCACTGAACTAAGCCTAAAAACTTAAGTAACCTGTCAAAGATGAATCTGAAACCAAACTGGACTCATTTGACTAGAAATCCCAGGCCATCTGTTAGTGGGGCAGGGAAGAGGGACATTAAGTTGCTTTCCGGGAGTTTGCTTCAAAACACACCACTGGCTAACTGGTCAGAGCCTCCCTCCTGAGAAGCTACTGCCCACGGAAGAAAATAAGCAGAGAGCAAGCAAACCGAAGTACAAAGTGTGCAAACTGAGATGTGCAGGCAGAGGGTACAGCTCAGTGGGACAGTGTGTGCTCAGCATGCACGAGGTCCGGGGTTCAGTCCCCAGCACCTCCGTTAAACAAATAAATGAATAAACCTAAGTACCCCCCCAAAAACCCTTAAAAAATTGTAAATAAAGTGAAATGTGTAAATTAGAGAAATAGTGAAATAAACTAACTTATACCCTAACTTATAGCCTTAAACATGGCTGTTTTGAGGAAGTTGTAACGATCTAGAAAAGTGCTCGTGACAGAGTATTTTAAGCCAGTGAAACACCCCAGCCAGACAAAGATTTGGTGAAGCAGACAGTTGATAAGCCTCCAACCCTTGGGACAGAGCTTCCAGGCAACTTTTGTGTCCTACTCTTAAGTATACAGAAGAAAAAACTTTAAAAAAAAAAGAGCCCCAAATTTTATAAATAATAACATTGGTATCCATGCAATGAGAATAGGATACTGGTAAAAGAAAAGAGAAAATTCAGAGAACAAAACAGAGTTTTTGAAAATTAAAAAAAATACGGTGTGGCAAATTAAAACCTCAATAAAAGATAAGGAGATAAAGTTGAAGAAATACTGAAAAAGCAGGGAAAAAAAAGATCAAAAAATGGAATGGGAAGAAAAAAAGGAAATTAATGATTCTCTCCAGGAAATCCAACTTTCCAATAATAGAGTGTTTAAAGGGGGAGGGGACGGAGAAATTAGAGGAAGGAAAGGAAATTATCAAAGAAATAATTTAAGGAAATTTCCCAAACATGGAAGATAAGCATTTCCAACAAGGACCTACTGTGTAGCACAGCCAAGAATATACGCATACACCTACACGGACATTGTGTACAATGTAGACAACATCTGAAAGGAAAACAATTTATCTTGTAAGAACCTGTCATGGAAAAGCCATCTACACACATATGTATATAACTGAATCACTTTGCTGTACATTTGAAGCTAACACAATATTGTAAATCAACTATACTTCAATTTAAAAAAAGTTTTTTAAAGAGAAGGACAAAAAGAGCTTTCAAACTGAAAGGGCCTCCCATGCCCCACTCGGTGAACGAGTCTTCACCTACACCAAGGACATCATTAATATGTGGAACTAACATAATACTGCAGATCAGCTAAACCTCAATAAAAATAAATAAATAAAATAAAGTTTAAAAATAAATCAATTTAAAAAATCATCAAGCACTGGGAATAATGAGGAACAAGCCCACATATAGAACGAAGTAGGTTTCACGAAAAGGGTCCGGTACAAGTCTGGCATTCAGGTCCTCAACAGCAGCCCTAGAAGGTAGAAGACAACTGACTTGATTTGCCTTCAAACTTCTGAGGGAAAATCACTTCCAAACTAGAATTCCATACTACCTACTGCACAGGAGGGAAAAACAGAGACATGCTGAGATATGTGGGGTTGAACTTTGCCTCGTGCTCACCCTCTCTCAGAAAGCTACTGAAGGATGTGTTCCAACAAAATGAAGGGGTAAACCCAGAGAAAGAAGAGTGAGGGGTCACTGAGTCGAGCGGGGCTAAAGAGAGCCAAAGTTACATTTTCCAGTGTGGAAAGGCCACAGATGGAGTGAAAACTGAAAACTAGGAAGCAACAATATAAGCATACCATTTAGACATATTGAGTTGAATACAAACACACTCAGATAAAAGAGTAAAAAAATCAGTCACTTCTGGGGAACGGGAAATTAAGAGGTGGAGGTCAACGTCTGGTATTACAGGTCTTGCAGAACCATTGGACTCGATAAGCCATGTGGACATATAACT